ATATGTATGGTCAAATGCAGTCTTTCACGCTAATTCCGAATATCGCATTTGTTTTGCTTTAGCATTATTCTGTGACAAAAAACCTCTAAAAATATTCGTTTTTTATCGAAAAACCATCAAAAACCATAAAAAATTAGCGAGTATAAACCCTTTTTCGCATCGTTGGGAAACTTTTCTTCAAATATTTTTTTAACATTTTGCAGAAAACAAAAGACTGGACAACATATATAAAATTCAGTTTGGCTTCTCTTAATCCTGAAACACAGCACGAGTTATACTGTTTATTTGCACTGATCAAAAGGACCGCCCCTTGACTCATATTCGCTCTATAAAACTTAATTTATTAGCCATCATATTATATGAACCTAGCTCATTTTATTCAGTTTTCAATTTTCTATCTTTCTATGTATACCACAACAAATTTCAATGATTTGCTGAAACGCAAGCTAGCACATCTTTTATAGAATAGTTTTTCTTATTTTTCCACAAAAAGGCCCGATAGTGCCAAAAGTTAGTCTCGGTTAACTTTTCATAGGAGGGGTATTGGAGCCTAAAATTTTAGGGTTAGTAGTTTTAGACATTGAAGTGTTGAATGAGCAAAAAGAATCGAAAAAAAAATATTTTATCGAATGCCTCGTATATTGGAGCGATGCTCGATCAGCTTATGGAAGCTCTCTTAATTTATTCATGTGATTGTTAGTAAATATAGTAAGAGTATTTGAATCATTGAATAAAAGATAATGACAAAAATAATCCAAGAAAAACAATAGTCAAGTCTAGGTCCACACCAGGATGGGAGCAAGGCCTACATAAGTGAAAGTGAATCTAGATTTGAAATGATCAATATAACATACCTGCACCTGTTCGGCGACTAGGTAGATAATTTTCTTCATCGAGAAAATAAATTGGATATTCGACTATCAGACCTTGAATATCTTTCAATTTCTCTTGTGCCTAACCATGAAAAAGAGCACAAGATTGCAAGACTCGAATAAAACGCATATCGAAACGTACTTTATGCTGGTCGGTATCTTTGAGTTTGGGCTTTGCAGTATAGTGACAAACCTGCTCAAAACATCGAATTTGGTCACTAGGCAATGTCCCAAAAGTTTCTTCATAGATCAACATATTATTGTGCGCCACTTGTCGAAAATAGTTATAGAATTGATCGGAAACCGGATCACTTACGTCAATTTCATGTTTGTTTTCCCACATGACACCAAGCATCATTCTATTCTCATAAAAATCAATCATCTGCATTCGATTCTCCGAAAAATCAAAGAACATACGAAAAGAGTCTTCTGCGCCAACTAGAACAAAATTTTCCGACACGAACGGGTTGACCATCAAATAGGCAGTCTTTCTCTTCGATATCGGTGATCACTATACAAAATTCACTGTCACGTTGACCGAGTAGAGAACGATCATTGATATTCGCACTTCCACAAATTGCCATGCAATCATCGACAATCATCAATTTAGAATGAACATAGATAATCTCTGTTACCTATGGTAATTGTATATATGAAATTAAATATTGAGCAAAAACATCTCTTTGATACATACTAAATTACCCATTAGTATATCATGTTGCCGCATACCGAAAAAACTTATATAATCATTGGGTAGAATACCTTGAAAAGATCGTCATTAAGAAATTTATTGAAATTCACAACTCACTTGCTGCTTCAAGCCGTTTGAATAGTGATCTGTCGCCTTTGCAGATCGATCGCATAATAAAATATAGTGAGGCTTGAACAACATTGATATTGTCGGAGCCAGGTAGGAGAGGAAGTAGAATGTAGATACGAAATTTTTCTCTCGATCTAATAGAAACTGAATGATCGATGTGTAGAAGAAGGAACAATATTTACTTGTGTGCACGTAACACTCGTTGATAGAGAGCCTCTGCTACTTGATTTTGAATCATTGGATCATTAGCGACTGTCACAAAGAATTGATTCTTAATGAAAAAAAGAGATATCCTGTATTTTTGTGTCTTCCTGCTCAGCAGACAAACCTCAATATAGATGAAATATTTAGCAGCCTCAATCATTTGTATATAGGCATTCTGAATCGATGTTTCAATGTTTGTTGTGCCTGCTGACCATGGGCCAATCGAACGAACACACTGTCCATTGAGATCAAAAAGAAACATTGTATCCATGATTGAATTCATTTTCACTTACTTGAGCATTGATTTGATACGGTTTACCATTTAGAAATTCTTTCCAATTGTTTACAGTTAATTCTTCTTTATCATCATATGTTTTCGGCAATAGGAAAGGGTAAGATGTATCGTCGAGAAATTTTTCGTACTACATGAAAAAAGACAGGAAGTCGATAAACGAATCCCATTGGTGAATCAAAAACTAGAAACTTTGTGAATATTCCAGCGTTGTATGAAATGCCGCGCAGCATCTCGTGCTACTTCACCGAAGACTACCAAAGCTTCATCATGCCAAGGTGTACGCGGTATTAGTGTTCGACCGATAAAATCTGTTAAGAATTTTTAAATCAGAAAGAAAGAATCATGAACGAAATGTAAAATACCTTCATCATATCTTTTAACAGCTTCAATACTTTTTTCGTACAGATTAAAATAATCTTTACCAATGAAATATCGATTTTTGATATCCATGGCTGCTTGATGTTTTTCATCATTTGGATCGTTTTCTTCGACAACATTTTCAATGATCTTTAAAAAATATATCATAACTTTCATTGATATTTCCGAAAATATTCAAGAGTAATTTTGCACTACCTTCGTCTCTTGATGCTTGCGTTGAACGAAGCATTGTGGTAGTGAAATGGGTTCGCTATCATCGAAAGTTTTCTGTTTAGCTGTTACTGTTTGGTTTATTGAAAAGAAAGCATTAGCATTAGCATTAAGATATGTTGAATCTTACCGCTATGAATGTTGTCTCCATCTTTCTCATCTTCAATACTGTCGTTTGTAGGATAAGTCGTTGCTTGTATTTGATCAGTATCCTACAATGCAGATTTTGTTATTAGTTTATCTCCAAAAACAACAGTGTCTTACTTCGAACAAGAATGTTTATCAGTGCGATGAAAGTGAATAGAATTGTATTTTGTTTTCATTCCTGTACTCATACTTAACTTCCTCATATGAAACTCAATGCTTATCGATGTCATTATGTGTTGACTGTGGTTTTGGCATAAAAACGACCGTAGTGAACATTTTTTTTGTCGATTTTTTTCTAAAGTGAATTCGAAGTTCTACTTACTTTATTTGACTTTTCTTCGACTTGTTTGATCATTTCAGCAGTCACCAATGTTTCTACTTCTACTGTCGTTTTCTCATCTATTTTGTTTTTCTCTTGAGCAAGGTCGGATGTCGTCTTCAATATTGTAACATTTGTTTTACCCAAATCGACAAGACTGAATAAGAAATCGAGAAATTCTCACATACAGTTCAATGTCAACATAGAATTGTTTTTTTTTCTAATTTTTTTATACAAAATACTTACCGATGAAAGTCATCGTCCCAACGACCGAAACATAAATCGATACCACCGATAAATGCAATTTTTTGATCAATAATCAATGTTTTCTCATTGTGTGACCACAATAATGTCTCATTAATCCGATGATGATCTGGATGTCGAATGACCTTTGATGAATCAAATAGAACAATGAAATAATGCTCATTTAGATAGATATATTAACTTACTTTAATATTACCCTTTTTACTTTTGCTGATTAATGCGTGTTTGGTATATGAACTATTTAGATGAGTAAAAAAGGACAATTCTTTGAAGATCATAACATAGACACGAACACCTTCATCCTTTTCATGAAAGGCATAGATTAACTAGAATCAGAAGAAGAAATTGAGAAGCATACGTACCGCTACCTTCCCCAGGAGATTATCCAAGCGCATGGATTCATCATTTGTCGGTCGTATAAGCATAATTTCTGGCGAAAGCCACCAATCGGTAATAAAGATTTCTTCTTTAGCCAATAGTATAGCTTTTGCAATCGATTCCATATAGCTTTTTCCATTGATGAACCTATGTGAGTATAACACTAAATCTGATAATCAATGCGTTTATCTTAAATACCAATAGCCTAATTGATTATGACGAATTGGTGCGAATGAACGGAAACGATTGTTGCTATCATTTATAAAATAGTGTGCTTTTTCTTTCAATGTGCTTAAAGATTGCATCCATTCTTCATAATCACGGAGAGTTTCACACTTCACTCTTAATCGTCGTTGTAAATTTATGATCTCAATATCATAATTCCTATTGGAATTCCTATGGTGACCCAATACCTCGAAACCTTGATCAACCAACATTGGAAACCGAAGTTCATGAGTATTTGAATGAATATAAGTAACAAAACTATCTTTAATAGCAAACCATCTGCATCAATAAAAATACATGAACTATGTGAGAATTTTTGTGACACAAACAAACCAATTGCATACTTATGCTTCTTATGAAATGGGTGAGCATTGAAGTTGAATGGTAGTCGAAGAGAGAAACTATGATCATAATTGGCATTGCTTGATCGTTTAAGGAGATACCCTTCCTTCAAGCTGACTGCTATTCCTTGGACAAAAGAGAGACGACTGACTTCAAAAAATTTACACTGAAACGAGAAGAAAACGACGAAAATCATTCAATACGGTATCTAGAAGATATTTCTAGAACAATCAAATGAATATTTAACATTTCTGATCGGAACAATTTTAGACATTAGCACATTGTAGAAAACTTATGGGCGTTTTACTGTATTGCGTTTAAAGGCAATACATTGAGTGAAATCTTACCGTAGCTGGATGATTACGACATTTTGGATGCCTAACAACTTTATTGAGATAGTCACAGAGTATTTGCTATAAATCAAAGACAAAACAATTTCGGACAAACATTGTTTTCGATACCCTTACACAAAATTCATGATCGATATTGTCATTGACAATTGTCAATTTACCTTTAGCTATTGGTAGACTTGGCCATTCATTGTTTTCATATTCTACTCTAAAGTAACAATTCTTGATGAGTAGCAGATCAAATAGAAAAGCAATATGATAATCAACATAGGTAAGCGAGACAAAGCGCGGTGCGAACTTAAGATCGAAGTTAGATGAACTGCTTGGGTTCATCTCGTTTGGTCAACTAATGATGTTCGTTAGAGAAATGAACGTTATTCTAAGATTGACTTGTAATAAGATCTTTGGGTATTTCTTATTTTTCTCTTCGATCATCTTACTTGCTTAAAGCACTGGTTGAATCTCTTGTCTTGTTTCCAACAGATTTCGTGAGCTCATTGTGTAAATCATTGCAATGCTCATACATTTTGCAGATTCTCCATTCAAATGGACCATGCTGAATTGTAACTTGGTATCTGTATCAAAGAATAGAGACCAATTCAATTTCTTGATTTTTCAACGGAAAATATTTACGAATGAAGATTAGGCAACCCGGTAGAAGTAGTGCTTGCTTGTTTGGCAACTATTGATACGATATGAATTGGAACATTTGGTACAAATGCCCAGCCATTTTGATCATATATATGTGCAGCAGAGAACATGTTCACTGTCAAAGATCAATTAAATGAGATACTGATAAAATTAGGAACAAGTAAACTAACCTTGTCGATGAAGCTCACCCAATGGATCGTTGGAATTTTTATGAGGATAGGGTACATATTCGTTAGGCTTTCGATTAGTCTGATCAGCATTGATCATTGTTTCAGTGAAGTTGGTTGTATGTTTAATCACAGTACTTTCGCTATCAAAAGCATTCTGATGTGCCATCCGAAAATGGATACTGATGCTTCTTCGTGTCAACAACACATACATGTAAAACTTGAAAGTTGAATTCAATTCAATTTTCAACTTTCAGAAGGCAACTCCTCTGATATGAGTGTGAGGAAATGAATGACATCGTGACTCTCGATTAGAGTGGGAGACAACTATTGAAAATTGAAAGTTGAAACGGAATTGTTTAATTAAATGCAAGTTTCAAGTTTGACACTACCGAGTATTTTCCAAGTACTTGAGTAAATTATTAGAATTTTGACTAAAGATTCTAATAATACATGTAACGAAAGATAGAAAATACTTGGAGCTTTCTAGTATACTAATGAGAAACGATGCATACTAGGAAGATCATTTTGCAAGCATCTTCCCAGAAACTTGATACTAGTAAACGAACTAGAATTATCTATTCATCTATCTGGATCAAACTGTCATACAAAATCGTTTCTATTTGTTTTTCTCAAATGCGATTTCGTAACTGTATTAATATCATATGAAAGCATAACGATTTATAGCCGATAACCTGAAAGTAATAAAGTTTCTCGCGGAAACTGGAAATTTATATATATATATATTGTTTTTCAGAATCTGGAACAGTTTCGAGAACAATATAAAAGTCATTTGTGCAGCAATGTAATGAAGTTGTTTGTCACTCTCTTGCTATGGGTGACATATCACGACAAATAGTGGATCTAATGACAGACTGGAGGAGTAGCTTGTTGCCTTCTTCGGCTATGATGTTTATTCGACTACTTCACATCTCCAGAATACGACTACTTCATATATAATACACGCTTCTATAGGAGAGAGGGAAGAGAGAAAGAAAGAGAAAGATGAACAGAGAAAAGAACAATAGAGAGAGACAAATAGGAAAGAGGAAAGGAAGATCAGTGAAAGATGATATCAATATCGACATAATTTGTGCTGCCAAAACTTCAAAAAAGAATCGGCTCTTGAATACAGAGCGTTAAAAAATTTCGCACTGAAATTCCCAATTTTTCGAACTCTATCATACTTATTTTTAGAATCTTACAATTATCAGTGGCAGAATAGTAGAATTAGTTAAGAAGCTAAGTCTCTTGCCATCGCAACTGTAACAGTAAAGGAAACAATTGAACGTTTGTACTCCACTTGCGTCATACAAGAGAGTATGAGGATTTAAGAGTGTAAGTGGCCTAATATTGAAATAAAAATTTGTGCTCATTTGCTTTTTTTATTAGTTATGATCAGCGTTAATATATTCAACGGGACCTTCATACATCCCTATTATTTTCATATATGTATAATCTGAAAGATGAAACTTGAAGAGGCTTTTTCAATTGGATTCAAGTTTAAAGTTTGACACTACTGAACCTTAGAAAGACAGAGATAACCAAATCGTTCATACTGTAAATAGTCCTTATTCATTTTTTTTGTTGTTGACAATCATCGATCTTGGGGTAACATGACTATAGAAAACTACTTAGTCTTTCATAATCATTTGTTTCATGTCTCATCTGTAACATTTATCTTGACAAATTTTATTGAAGAATGGAATTATTGTTGTCAATGACAAACTCTCCTTCAAGTGAACATTTTAAAAGATGCTTTCAATTTCAACTAAATTCTAGGCTCACCTGTCACAAATTCTTTGCTTTACTTCAATTAACTATCGACTTGTGTCAAAATTCTGTTCAACAAAAACCTATAATGATATAGTGCAGAAAGCATAAAAAACTCACCATGTCAATGACAGTTGCGACAAAATCAAAACTTGGAGATGGATGCGTCTCAGTGATTGTGAAATGCATGAAATAAAACCGAACTGCTTCAGGGACAGAACGATGTGTTTTTAACTGTAATAGAGAAACAACGTCATTCAAATAATGGTGTGGCAAGCAGTAACATAGTTGAGAGAGGAAGAGAAAAGTAAAATTTTTGAGTGAGAGGTAAAGTATCGATGAATACGCAACATTTTTTTTCTCGCCAAATCGAATGCCAAAAAGGCTCTCTATTTGGTTTGAATCAATTTCACCAAAACAAAAAACAAACAAAAAAATGCGTTTCAGCCTCTCTGTGGGTGTACGTGTGCCGATGCACAAATACCTCTAAAGATTATATGACATTCTCAAGACTACGTGAGTGGATACGGATATGTAGAAAGGGTGGAGACCTTTGCCAGACAGTGAGAGCTGTAATTTCTAGGTGTGAGTGTAGGTGTGGGTGTGGGGTGTGGGTGTGGGGTGCGGGTGTAGATATCATTGAAGAACTCATCCACACCAACACGCACACCCATATCCGGCCACAGCCACCCACACCCAACCACACCCACATCCACATGCACACCCATATCCAAAACACACCCACACCCACACTCAAACTCACAACCAAACCCTCACACGTACGCCCAAATCGAAACTC